TGACAAATGGAGGCCAAGTTTGATACACAATTCATTGATGCCAGAGCGCGCAGAATGCTTCAATGGCTGATATTTGTTATCTTAGAGGCCAAGTTTGATCCAATAGCTCACATTAATTGACGTTTACTATAAATAGGGGTAGAGAGTGAGGGGTTAAGGGTGTAAAAAATTTTATATCTCCATTTAGAGAGGAGAGTTACTCTTAATGAGAAGACCTTCTAAATTTATAACTTTTTGTTATAATTAATAAAATAATTTTTTTTACCACTTCATATTTTTTTTCTCTTTGTTGGATGATAAAGACGAAGATGAAGATCAATTTGGAGGTTTGTTTTTTATTTTATTTTCTCTTTTATTTCTTTTCTTATTGCTTAGTAGTTTAGATTTATATTAATGTCTTGTAGTATAGATTTACATTCATGCTTTTATTCTCTTGCTTTAATTTTTTGCATTTAATTCTTGTAATTTATTATAGTTTAGTTCTTACAATTTATTTTGTAGATTAGATAAAACCTATGACTTCGGTTTGTATTTATTTCTTGACGCTTAGCGTATTAGGTTGAGGAGAAATGATTATTTTATTTATTCTCCTTGATCTAATACGTCGCGGGCTTGTTCACGTTCTGATTCTTAGGTATTTTGGGAAACGGGGCGTGACAGGCGGAAGTAGTAAAAACCACTTGTTATGTGATGAATTGATCTCCATCAACCATAATACAGTTAAAGACGTCAATGGAGATGTGGACCGATAAGCTAGCTGATTATTCTAACCTCCATATATTTAGAAATCTAGTGTACGTAATGTACAATGCCTAAGAAATTACAAACCTGGATTTAAAATTCAGAAAATACATATTCTTAGGGTATACTGATGGAGTAAAGGGGTATCGCTTGTGGGATCTGACTAACCATAAGGTTATTGTCAATAAAGATGTTATCTTTGTAGAGAACCAACTACAAAGTGAAGAGAAAGAAAGTTGCTCAAGAAAAAACTAAGAGACTATAGCTGTTCAGGTAGAAAATGATTCAAATTCTTCTGAAGTAACACTGTGGCAAGATGTACAAGAACCAGTCGAGTCGAGCCTTCAGAAGTTCGAAGGTCAACTTGTGAGAGAAAACTACCGACTTGACACTCAGAATATATTACGGAGAGTAATGTTACATATTATCTTCTAATAGAAAATGGAGAGCCATCAACTTTCTATGAAGTTATAAATAGAGCAGATGTATCTTTATGAATGACAACAATGTTGAAAGAAATTGAAGCTCTCCATAAGAATAAGACTTGAGTACTTGTGTCACTGCCACAAGGAAGAAAGACCATTGAAAATAAATGAGTCCACAAGATCAAGCAAAACAGAGATGATCCAGTGGAGCGATATGAGTCCACAAGATCAAGCAAAACAGAGATGATCCAGTGGAGCGATATTGTGCTAGATTGGTAATAAAATGATATGCTCAGAAAGAATGTACTAATTTTAATTAAATATTTTTTCATATAGTTCGACTTATAACAATCCGAATAGTCCTGACTATGAGCGCTATATTTGACTTACATCTAGAGAAACTAGATGTGTAAACAACTTTTCTTCATGAAGATTTTGAAAAAAAAATGTTCATGCTCCAACTAGCAGGTTTCGAAGAAAAAAGAAAATATAACTTGATTTGCAGGTTGAACAAAACTCTATACGGTCTAAAGCAAGCGCCGAGTTGTTGGTAGAAGAGATTTAATTCTTTCATCATGAGCCTTGGATATAACAGAATTAATTCAGACACTTGTGCATATTTCTAGAGGTTTGGTGAAAATTAACTTAGTTATCTTATTATTGTATGTTGATGACATATTGGTTACATGCCCCAACAAAGATCGTATCGAAGAATTAAAGGCATAGGTGGCTAGGAAATTTAAAATGAATGATTTAGAATCTACAAATAAGATTCTAAGAATGTAAATTTACCGAGACAGATTTAATAGGAAGATTTGATTTTCTCAGAAGAATTATTTAAAGAAAATCTTATGGCGCTTCAACATATAAGATTGCAAGTCAATTTTTACCTCACTTCTGTTAATTTCAAGTTATTCTCCATTATAAGTCCTAGCAGTAAAGAAGAGATGATGGAGATGTCTCGAGTATCAATGCATCAGCAGTGGACAGTCTAATGTTCGCTAAGCTTTGTACAAGACCAGATATTGCACAAACAGTGAGAGTAGTTAGTCAATACATGACAAATCCTGGTAAAAAGCATTAGAATGTTATAAAGAGGGTCCTAAGATATATTAAGGGAACCTCAAATGTTGTATTATGTTATGTGGATCAGATTTTATTAATAGATATGTTGATTCTGATTATACAGGTGATCGTGATAATAACAAATCCATCACAGACTATATGTTTGTACTTGTTGGCGGAGCTGTAAGCTGGGTTTTAAAACTACAGTCAGTTTTGGCTACATCAACAACAGATACAGAATATGTTGCAGCTACACAAGCTAGTAAAGAGGCAATATAGTTGAGAATGATACTGGACGAACTCGGACATGAACAAAAAAGTTTTCTCTATTTAGTCAGAGTGCTTTATATTTGGCAAGAAACCCAACTTTTTATTCAAAGACAAAACACATTCTACCTTAGTACCACTTCATTCGTGAGAAAGTGGAAGAAGGAACAATGAATATGCAGAAAATTCACACCAAAGACAACCTAGCAAATTTTTTAACAAAAGCAGTCTGACAAATTTATTTGGTGTCGATCCTCTTGTGGTTGCTCAGAGACCTGAGCAACATAAAGATGACAATATAGAAAGAATAATGTGAAGATATAATTGATTTTCAATCAAATCTTCAAGTGAGAGATTGTTAGAAATCACAATAACCACCTACCACCTACAGTAAATACCAACCACAGATTCATCAACCTTTATTGTAGCAACCCTGTATCAACAGTGTATACCTACCACAAAAATTACCTATATATAACCCTCATAGCCTTAAGTTGAGAGAATTTCAGAAACAACAATAACTTCACATATAGAAGAGTGAGAGAAAAATAGATAGAGTTTCTCCTTGTAAAGAGAGATTATAATTCTAAAAAATTTTCTCGTAGTGGATTTTTCTATCATTGCCCTTGGTTTTTGCCCGAAATTCATTTAGGAGGTTTTCCATGCAAATCTGTGTGTTCATTTTATTACTTCTACACTAATACTTGTTAGGACCCTGCTCTATTGGACCCCGGGTTTGTCCTCACATATTCTTACTCAACAGTGGACTAGTGAAAAATAGTGTTCCGCATCACCTGTTTTATCTAACCAACTGCTTCTCTTATCTTTGTCGGCTATCACTTCCTAATTAATTAAAAATATATCTATAATGTTAGTGTCCACAAAGTTATCATGTTTTCTCAATAAAAGCACCACAAACTTTCTAGAACACACACAGTCATTTTATAAACGTTTGGTAACCTTTTTCACTAAAACATTCTCTCTTGCGTCTTCATTTAGAGGGTCGCATGGATTTAATTGTCTCTTGACGAAGCACTCTTTAATATACTTGGGAAAACTCAGTAGGTTATATGACAGAGCCGTGTCGTTTCTTGGTGGGGGAGTTAACCTTAAGAAGTTGCCAGTGAGGATTCCTAATGTTACCTCTACCGCCAGCCTATGTTCTTTTTATAAATTTTCTTTAAATCAAACTGATGTGTCAGTGATGTGGTATTACCATGTATATACCATGCTAATAAAAATATTAAAAATCTAAGTTTGTCAAGTCATAACAGTAAAATTTTGTTAAATTACATGTTTCTTCTGCCACCTTATTGACATGTCAACCCTTAATGACAGTTTGTAAAAACGATTTAGGTTAATCACGGAGATAATGTGAGGAATCCTAAGGGGTTGTTTGGTTGTATGTTTTTACCATGTAAAATGATGGAAAGTGTAAAAAAGTGGGTCCCAATATTGTCAGTTTTCATCACTTTACATTGTTTGTTTAAATTTTTTTACATGAAAAGCTTACACTTTTTGATGAGGTGTCACCGAAAGCAAAATCACCAAAATTAGAAGTGATTTTGTTGGAAAGCTTACACAATGTCATAAATGAGTCCAAAAAATAATAAAAAAGTCAAAACCTTGTAGAAAGTGCTGAGGTGGATAACCACTTTCTATTTTGTGTCATAAATACTCTAGTTTACATTAGGCTATCCAAACAATGTAATACTATTATTTTAGGATTCACAAAGATTCCTAACCAAACAATGTAAACACTCGAATGAAAAGTGGTGAGGTGGATAATCACTTTCTATTTTGTGTCATAAATACTCTACTTTCCTAAAGACATCAAAACAGCCCCTAATTGATAGCAATAAATATCAAGAACTCAGGTGATATTTAACTAACACATCAGATACCACCATTGAACTCTTGCCAAAAACTATCATCAACTTGGGATTTTGTGCGGAGAAGTTTCCGAAGACAGGAATTTCAAAAAACGCATATTTGCATGGAATTGTTTGCAACTTCAAATTAAGAGTTGTCCTAACCGCAAAAATTACTTATGAATAGAACGGATGTACTTGCATTCAAAATAAGTGTACGTTTAATTAGCAAATAGTTTAGACATATTATAAATTACAATATCAAATAATTTTAACCTTTATTATTAGGATATAACGTGACTGCAAATTCCCTGTTTTTAACCTACTTCACTTTTGCAGCAATTTTCTGTGTTGTAAGAACAATTTTGGGCGTCGCAAATTCTCTGTTACGCCACATTTTTTTAGGTGTCGCAAATTGTCTGTTATGCCACATAAATTCTTTGAGCGGGGGGCGTAGTTCGAATAAATTATAAACAAAGGACCCAAAAAAAATCTCGTTTTCCTTTCCAACAGAGACAGATTAGTTGTTTCAGTTGTAACAAATCTCCTCTTTCCCCATGGATTCCATAGCACGTGCTGAGAAAGGAAATTACATCAATTTAAAATCTAAGGAATATCCGAATTGGATATATTAGGATTTGATCAAGAATTGGAAACCACAAATTCCCAATTAGGAGATTTCAAGAAGAAAAGATAAGCTTCAAGAAATAAAAGAAGAGGAACTTCTCTCTCGCATTAGGCCAAAACCAAAAAGAGGAAAGATGTTGGCTTCTAATTTTGGCAATGATCTCATCTTCAACATCTTGGTGTGGATCCCTGCGGTGATATTACACGGTCGCCTGCGTTGTGTGTGCAAACAATGGCTTCATATGATCAGAGACCCTGTCTTTGTTCAAGCTCACCTAGCCAAGGCCAAGTCCAAGCCAAGTCTGTACTGTGCAGCAAGATACCAACCCCACAATTTTCGCTACTTAGTCATCGACGAAGATCAAGATGTGCCGCCGACCGTGCAGACACCGATCATGATGCTCGCCTCGTGCGATGGTCTGGTTCTTGTCGCAGATTCTTGGCGTGCTCGTAGCCTTGCAGTCGTCAACCCAATTACCAGGAAATGCTTACAACTTCCGTACTTTTCCAATGGATACCCTTCTAAGACGAGAGGTGGCATTGTCTTTGACTGTCAGAGGAAAGAATACAAAGTTGTTGTGTTTTACAGTTTTTCCGTATGCCAGCCTTTTCAATGCAAGATTTTGACTCCGAAGTCAGGTGATCAGATGGCTTGGAGAAGGGTAGATTGTCCGTTCCAAAGATTTGAATGGTTTAAGCCACCTGTTGACGCAAACGGAGCGTTATATTGGTCGGATTATGATCGTCGGCATTTGATTTCGATGGAAGTTGTATCAGATATCGCGGAGTTTCGCAGAATAGAAATGCCTACAGCATATGGGCCTCTTGGCCATCCGCAGCTCATCAAGATGGGAGACAAGTTATCGGTTTCGATCACGGACGAAACCTCGTATCATACATTGCTTCTTGATGACGACAGGTCTCGTGAACAAATACTGTGGTCAAGGAAGCAAACATTTCCTTTGGATTCGCGACACAAAGATGCTGTTATCATAGGAAGCTTGAGGGATGGAAACGTGATAATCCTCAAGTTCGGAGGAACGTGGGACTTCATGGCGATTGATCATGTGGGTAATAAGGGGGAAAGATGCTCGATGATGGATGATGATCAAAGTATCCTATGTTCTACAGTTGTCCATGTTAATAGCTTAACTTCATGGTATACTAGACGTCGTTCCTTTCAATTTTCATCGTCCTTATATTTATAGTTTGCTTATAAGCTACTCACCGTGCAAAGTTTTATGCCAATGTCTTGTGACAAATTACAATTTTTTGTTGTGATGGATGTAGGGGTGATCTTGATTGTGTGCCTTCCAAAGTTGGACGTCTCAAGGAATCATGGATGGATAACTGTTGGTCGATCTTTGATCATTTAGCTTTCAGAGAACGTACGCTCAAAGAGGAGAAGGCTCCAAGAGAATGTTAAACATATAACTCAGCTCGATCATAGCTGAAAACATCGTGAGGGGAAACCTGTAATTTGTACAAGCTCCTCATCTTATTTGAAGTTTGACCCAATGTTGTAATTTTGCTCTACAGTTTCTTTCCAATAAAGTATAAATTCGTAACCCTCAACACTTCCATAATTTGGAAAAGTTTTTACGTATTGGAAAATAATCTATTGGTATCAGAGGATTCTTTGATCTGGACCAACATGGATACTAGAGGGGATTAATCATGTTTTTAATGGACAAACATGACCTATTACCAATAAAAACTCAATCTGGACTATCATAATGAGATGATATTGGTAGGCTTGAGGCTTAAATCCCTGCCTAACATAGTCCAGAATTAGGCCCATGAAAAATGATGGTCAACATGTGGGATACGTTAATGTATTAAATTATAATCTTAAATTCTTACAACAACTTTGAGGTTTTAATGGATTTTAGTATAGTATTTAAAGTAATCTAAACTCAAATCTCATCAGGCATACATACATCGAATTAAAAATATAAGCATCTAATAGCAAGATTTCAAATATGAAGACTGCTTACATTATGGGGGGCGTTATATTTTAGAATTATTACTTTTAATTCTCACCATAAGTTTAAATTTTGATATTGCGGAAGGAACCTTTAATAGTATGCATATTATAGAATTATTACTTTTAATCCTCACAATAAGTTTAAAATTTGATATTGCGGAAGGAACCTTTAATAGTATGCATATGCTTTTGTTCACTTATAACTCATGGGCCGTAGCCTGATCTGGAGGGTGCCAGAGTTAAAACTCCAGCCTTTTACTTGTGAAGTAAGCTATAATGTTAGGCCCAGGATTAAAGTAATAATTCTATAAAATGCATACTATTAAAGCCGAAGGTTCCTATTAAAGTCTCCTTTTAATTGTATGCATATGTTTTTGTTCACTTATAACTCATGGGCCGAAACCCGATCTGGAGGATACCAGAGTTAAAACTCCAGCCTTTACTTGTGAAGTAAGCTATAATGCTAGGCCAAGTTAAGCGCAATGAGTGCCTTGTGCTATGCGGGCCTGATGATATTCAATTGAAGCGAAATGCACTAACACACTAACTAAAACTGTACTTTGTGTACATGAAAAAAATATATAAATCTAATCGATTTATTACCTTTGAATCAATATTTTGGTTATACCTTGACATTTTAGTTACTATTTTATGTTTTGTCAATCTTTATTAATTAATGTCAGCGTATAAAATCTTCCTTCATTTTCTCAGACAAACAACGGGACCTTCGAACTTGAAGCCCGAGTCGCTACTATTTACCAAATCACGATGTATACATAGTTTTGTTGCCACTTTTTTCAACTAGTTATATCTTGATCTTTAAGACTTTGGACATCCTTCACACTGGAGATATATATTGAATTATCTATTTTTCATTTTTTAATTTCATAACTATTTTATTATTTTATTTGGTTATATGTTTATCCTTAGCAGGGTTAGTATCAAGTTTGAACTCAAATTTCAACAGAAACGAGTTCAAACCTGGCCAACTAGCAAGTCCCACATAAAAAGTTCATCTCCGGCATCAAGCTAGCACTTGAACTTGTAAAACAATCATATGCCTCCAAATTAGACAGATATGACAAATAATGACTTTTTTGCATTCTTACAAAACTGAATGGGAACACAACGGGGTTGAGGCTTTTTTTGGCGCAATTTTTCATGGGCGGCTGGTTGGGTCTATCTACAAACATGTTGGTCGGCCGGAGAAATGCTGGGCTCGGTCAAACCCCAGGCCCACACTTTATTCGGTTCGAATTTTTTTTAGCACTCTCTGTTACGATTGAATTTTGTCGAAGCCAAAATTATTGCTTTCAACGAAATTGAAATAAATAAATTAGTAAGTAATCTAAGCTTAAATCTCATCAGGCCTATTTAAACTGTTATAGCCGTTTTAATGATAAAAAATAATCTCCAATCAAAGACAGACAAGTGTCCAACATTATGCATAATCAAGACAACATTTCAAGATAATTAGAGGCTTATTTGGATCGACTCGACACGCCGACATCTTGTAAGGACGACTCGAAAGGCGTCACGTGTCGACGACCAGAAAGGTGTTACGCGTCGTCTCCTGACTAAATCAGCTACTTAATCACTCTACTCGGCCGACTAATAGACCGACACCTTGCGAGGGCGATTCAAAAGGCCGACACATGTGCGCTAGTGATCAATTACCTCGTAATAATTGCCATTAAATGCATTATGGGCATCATCATTCATCTGTCTCTAATAGTATTTATGACATATCGAACCACGACGGCACTGCTCACTCCTAATCACTTCGCATTAAATACCAAAGTGACCTCTCCTCCACTCATTGGCTGACATCTGTAAAGTAGAGGCTGACGTGACCACTATCTCATACTCAGCCGAAGTTACCATTCTACCATTCTGCCACCACTATAAATAGGAACACTATTTTCAATAACATGGTAAGTTCTGGATTACTACTCACTGTGTATAAGAGCTACTACAGTTCATTTTTACTTCTCCACTCAAGCAACTCACTGAGTTGATCGTCGGAGGAACAATCGGGAAACCCAACCCTGCCTCTTACAATTTACTACTTGTGCAGAGAAAAATAGCTTACTCAAAAATTAGACATTCAGACAGTTAGAGGACCTCCGTCAACTTAATCACTCCCCTCTGTGCGATTTTATACATGAACATAAACAAATTAAAAATATAAGCACTTTTGCGTAAAATAGTAAGATTTCAAATATGAAGACTGCTTACCTTACGGGGGATGTTATATCAAAGAAATATTATTTTAATTCTCACCATAAGTTTTAAGGTTAAAGTTTGATATTGCTGAAGGAACCTTTAATAGTATGCATTTTTTTATTCATTTATAGCTCATGGGCCCAGACCTAATCTGGACGATACCAGATTTAAAACTCCAGGCTTTTGGTTTTCGTTTATATTATACTTTAAACCCCAGTTAAGCCCAAAGACTGCATTGTGCAATGCAGGCCTGATAAAACTGATTTATATAACTCACTAACTAAAACTGTACACGATGCAAGTTCACCATATAACTCACTAACTAAAACTGTACATGATGCACATCAAGAAATAAATAAATTTAATTGATTTATTACGTTTGAATCAATATTTTGGCTATACCTCCACATTTTAGTTACTATTTTATGTTTTGTCAATCTTTACTAATTAATTTCAGTTTATAAAATCTTCCATCATTTTTCTCAAACAAATGATGACCTTTTAACTTGAAGCCCCAATCGCTACTATTATCAAATCAGGATGTATACACAGTTTTGTTGCAACTTTTTTCAACTAGTTATATCTATATCTTGATCTTTAAGACTTTGAGCATCCTTCACACTGAAGATATATATTGAATTATCTATTTTTCATTTTTTAAATTCCATAACTATTCCTTAGCAGAGTTAGCATCAGGGTTCGAACTCAAATTTGAACGGAAAAGAGTTCAAACCTAGCCAACTAGCAAGCCCCACATAAAAAGTTCATCTCCGTCGTCAAGCTAGCACTTGAACTCGTAAAACAAACATATGCCTACAAATTAGACAGATACGACAAATAATAACTTTGTAGCATTCATACAAAAATGAATGGGAACACAACAAGTTGAGGCTTCTTTTTTTTATGGCACAAGTCAAGGGCGGCTGGTTGGGTCTATCCACAAACATGTTGGTCTGCCGGAGAAATGCCGGGCTCGGTCAAACCCCCAGCCCACACTTTATACGGTTCGAAATTTTGTTCGCATTCTTTGTTGTGATAGAATTTTTTTCAAAGCCACAAATATTACTTTCAACGAAATGGAAATTAATAAATAAATTAATAAGTAAAACTTCAGTCCATGAATAATTGCTGCCGCTACGGCGTCACCTTTTGCGGCGAGGGTTGCCACGTCGGAATCATGACATGGCGGTCGGTCGACGGCTTCTCACGCTTCTATGAGGCAATGCTGACGTCATTTTAAATGGGAGACTGGGAATAGCCGGCGACCCGTTCGCATCCCCGAGAGAAACAGAGTTAGGGCCCGTTTGGTTGTATGTTTTTACCATGTAAAAAGATGTAAAGTGTAAAAAAGTGGGTCCCAATATCAGCTTTCATCACTTTCAATTGTTTGTTTGTAGTTGTGAAAATAGTGTAAAGTGATTTCATATGCTGATGTGAGTTGTAAAGTGATTTCATTAAAAAAAAAGACATGATTTTAAGAGAAAGCTGGCATTGAAGTCTGGAAAAAAAATAATTCCAACCAATATGATTATTTGAGTAGGGACCACTTTTTACACTTTTCAAACAAACAATTATAAAGTTTTATTTTACAAACCAAACAAGTGTTTTATGATTTCAATGGAATAAAAATAAAACAAAGAAAAGTTTAAAAGTGAAATTGATGAGGTGGACATTAACTTTCCAAGTTGTGTCATAAATACACAACTTTACCAACAACAACCAAACAGCCCCTTATGGAGCGCGTTGTTTTGAATCCCTCTAATTTATGATTCCAATGGAATCAAAAACTAAGTTTTTCCTTCAAAATTTACATATATTACTTTTATAATATAATAATTTATACCACTTTGTGAGTCAACTTTCGGCTCAAAGAAAAAACCCTTCTACTTGCGAGAACATATCAAAGTATATTATTTTAATGTCGATTCTCGTCACATTGGATTCGAATACAAAATCTTCGACGTTAGAAGCAGTTGTCATGATTCTATTACAAAGAAAGAAACAAACAATAATGATTGGAGGCGTGATAATTGTGTGGTATCATTTGGATTACTTATAAAACTTTTAGTAAGAGAATAAAAAGTAGATAAATATACTCCAAAAAATAATTTCTCCTAAAAATAAGATTATAGAAGTGATATTTACTCATTTAACTACCTTTTTAAACTAAAATCCTTTTTAATTGCTTTTAACTTGAGTTAATGTTGTCGAGTTAAAACTAACTACAACTAGAAATATCAAGCTCTCTTTTGACTACAGCAAAAACGACTAATAGATGTTGGATTTAAATCTAATTAAATCTATTTGTGGACA